ATTGTTGTTTGGCGGGTCCGGGCTGGGGATTCGAACCCGCCACCTTAGGTGTACGTGGCTGGCGCCTTAACCGGTTGAGCTATAGGCGCCGAGCCATGATCTTTTAACCTTAAATTCCAATCCATCAAAACAGAAGATATTAACATTTCACTTAAGATAATTCAACATCCTCAGCTTTTAAAGAAATACAGTAAGTACTTTAAAAGAATGGAAATAGTTTTCAAAAACTATACTCTAAAATACTATGTGCCAAAAAATTTCAGTCTTCTTAACAGGTGACAGCCAAAATCCCAGCCGTAGAACCATCCTCAGAAAAGTTGGAATGTAGAACATTGAGTTCACTTCAAATCTCATCAATGTCTTCATCATCATCTCCAATATCATCAGATTGGATTTCATCATCATCTCCAGGACCAAATGTATCTGTTTCATTAATTTTAGCATGTTCCGGAAGCTCTCTATATGCCTTCAGACTTCTTGCTTCATCTGCATTGTACTTTAAAATGACGTCGGCTTTGTTATCCTGATAGTCTTGTAGACCAACCAATATAATGTCTGAGGTATTTATCCAAACCTTCTTTCTCAGTTTTCCTCTGATGTGGCATAACCTCTTTACACCATCAAAGCACATTGCTTCTAATCGTCCATTTGCCAACATTTTTATTACCTGAGCATACTCTTGCCCATCCTCTTTAAATACCAATTCTCTTTTTTCAGATTCATTCTCATTCTTACCCCTATGTCTGTTTTTACCTCCTTTACCTTTATTCTTGGGCATGGCTGTGTTAGAGGCCTTGTAGGACCTGTGATTCCTTTCGGTTGCTACGAACGAGTTGAGAGCGGTTAACTAAGCAGTTGCAGGTATAGCGAACACGAGACTCTCTTTTTTTTCTTATTTCTATAGTGGCTAATGTTTGCCCCTTTCAATGCTCTAGTGTTTTTTCCCCCCAAATTTAAAATTAATTTTTTAAAAATATGAACAAAATCTGAAAGATACAAATGAGATGAAAGAATGAACAAAATGAAAAGCCTTTATCCCACCTCCTTATCCCAGCCATCTTATGCCTCTTCATCAACAGCTTCTTTCTTATTAACCCTTTTGTTGATTATTTTAAAAAACATTTTTAAAACAAGAAGGTACGAGAACAGTCCAGCGCATAAGCCCTTAGATTCTTAGATTCACCAGTTGTTGCTATTTTGCCACATTTGCTGTATTACTCCTGATACATAACACACACAAACACACACACACCTGCATGTGCGCACATGCAAAATTTATATTGAATCATTAAAGAACAAGTTACAGACATTATAACCCTTCATCCCTAAACACTTCTGGGGGTATATCCTAAGAATAAGGACATTTTCTTATATAATTCTAGTACAGTTATCAGAATCAGAAAGTTCAACATTAACATAAATGCCAGTTGTCCATATTTAAATTTGATCATTATTGTCCTCATAATATCCTTCATAGCACTTTCCCCTGTGACCTGGAATCCAGTCCAAGATCGTGCAGTCCATTTCGTTTTCCTGTCTCTTCAGTTTCTTTCAATCTGAAATACTTTTATAGTCCTGATTTTGACTTTTTTTGTTTAGCGACAGAGTCTCACTTTGTCACCCTCAGTAGAGTGCCATAGCATCACAGCTCACAGCAACCTCCAGCTCTTGAGATTAGGTGATTCTCTTGCTTCAGCCTCCCGAGTAGCTGGGACTACAGGCATTTTTTCACAATGCCCGGCTATTTTTTTGTTGCAGTTTGGCCAGGGCTGGGTTTGAACCTACCACCCTCAGTATATGGGGCCGGAGCCCTACTCACTGAGCCACAGGCACAGTCCTAATTTTGACATGTGTTTAAAGAATTTGGGTCTATTTTGTAGAAATTTCATGGATTTTTTATCTGTTTGATTGTATCTTCATGATTAGATTGAAGTTATGGCTTTTTGGCTCAAGTATCTTCAAAGTGGTAAATGTCTTCCTTAGTGCATCATAGCAGCAGTCACATGACATCTGTCCCATTATTTGTGAAAAAAGTGCATAAAACTTTTATGTATAGTTTAACAAATATTTATAAGGTGAGCAACCATGTTTACTATCCAGGTTAAGAAATATAACATTGGTTGGTTCTAGGAATTAGTGGTCTGGCAAGAGGGACCCCTGCCCTGGCTTTGTGCATTAGAGGCCTCTACTTTGTTCCTCCTCTGACAGTACTCTGTCCCATGGAGCAAGGAGTCTCTGGGACCTACTGAACGTGCCCACTTGAAGCCTGACCCTTCTATCCAGATCCTTGGTTTGAGTACCCAGGCTCTCAGGATTTCTTGCCCAATGCCCTGATGGGTCTCTTCCCTGGGATCGGTCTTCTTAAAAGTGCACTGTGTGGTTGGTATATACACCCTATGCCTAAGGGGTACACTAGTGGTAGCTGTTGGTGGAGAGTAGAGTATGGTATAGAGCTTGGACTCATAAGTAGGGTTAACTGTGTACCTGTGTGTAGGGTCCCTGGCAGTGTGGGAGGGAGAAGGGGGTAATGGGCAGTGATCCAGTGGCCAGTTTTCCCTGCACCACCACTTTTCTGCATGAACTCTAAGGAGTCAAAAAATTCTTATTGTGAATTTGGTCTTTTGGGTAGTTACAAAGGTTATTCTTTTTTTTTGAGACAAAGCCTCAAGCTGTCCCCCTGGGTAGAGTGCTGTAGCATCACAGCTCACAGCAACCTCCCAACTCCTGGGCTCAAGCAAGTCTCCTGCCTC